ATTGTCGCAAGCGTGTGCTCATCGTTGTCGTCTGCGCTGCAGAGCGGGAAGAAGTACGTGAATGCATGGAATTATTGAAGAAGTCGTTTAGCATTGGTCAACAATGCGGATGCGCGCGCGAATGCAAAAAGGAAGGTGAACGTAAAAAAAGTGAGGACAGCGAAGGAGAGGCAACGCAAATGGCGGAGCGAGGAGCGGGAGGGATGGAAGGGAGACAAAAAGTTGGGAGGAGAGGGATGAGCAACTATTGTGCAGGCTATTATGAAGTGGGCTGGCTGCTTACGCTTTACGCTGAAGGACGGTGTTGTCAGCTGGGTCGTGTCATTGCGAGATCTGAGGCTCAGCGCGGGCATCGCAGTGGCAGATTGGAGAGACAAGTACAGTGATGTTTGTTGCCTATGTCGTTGCAGGCAGAGTGCCTGCTGGTAGGGCGCTTGTGAGCGGAGGACTCGATTAGAGAGAACAGAGGCGACGGGGAGACGGTGAATAGGAGGTAAAGGAGTGACGAAGAGAAATGCGTCATTATATGCTCTCGATCTTCAGCAGTTGATTACATAAGCAACTATAATATGAGTCGTCAACTGATAGAACATTTCAATTATTGCATTTAGGTATAAAATAAAATTATTGATCTACTTTGTAATATATTAAAAAGTAATATAACATGTATATAGCTTTATAAACACACTGATGTAATTATTACAAGTAGATGAAATGCTTTTTACAATAATTGTAAACTACATGTATAAACAATCTAAGTATAATATACATTAATATACCTTTTGTATAAATTATAAGGTAACAATAGTAATTATTACATTATTATATTATAAATACAACCCTTTCTTTAAGATTATAATTTAAATATAATACAAGTATAACACTTTAGGTTGTTATACAAAGTTAGTATAATACATGTAATAGATTTTATTCATCCCTAGTACTTATGTAGTCTTTATATGCATTAATATGTCTTATTTAAACATTGCAATTCAATTACAAGCCTTACAATTACTTTATAATGTATAAACAATACATATGTTACTTTACAAAGTCTATAAGAAATTACAAGAAATGTGACTTTTTCCTGATGATTATACATTTGGATTAGCTCATAAATCCACGTGATGAATAAAAAGACAAATCCGACTTCCAATTAATTTCAGCAACCGATACCAATACTGATTCAGTCAATATGACGACGCGACAATACACAATATTTTTACTTTCATTGAATCAGGATTTCTCATGTATATGTGACCCAGGAAAGGACCGAAAGGTACGCCGCCACGACTACTCCCGTCCCGCTGCTTGACTCAATTTTCAAGCTCTCTGACGGGGGATTGTCATTGCTTGACATCATTCGAGTTCGTCTTCCGAACGCTGAGTTTGCATTTCTCTCGGCCTGTCACACCGCCGAGCAGTATTGTCCATCTTTCGCACTCGATGAAGCTCTCCACTTAGCTGCCGCTGTGCAATTCAGTGGTTTTCGAAGCGTGATCGGGACAATGTGGGAAATGTACGACGCGGATGGCCCTTTGCTTGCCAAAGAGGTTTATTCATATATGGCGGACTATGAAGACGGTGAAACAATACATAAACGGTCCGCAGCAGCTCTTCGTAAAGCTGTTCTAGAGTTGCGGAAACAGGATGTCCAGACAGAACGATGGGTTAACTTAGTACACATTGGTGCTTGATCGGCACTTGTTATAATGTATCACTCGCTGGAGATTGATCTGCGGATACACTACACAGCCCAGCATACACCCTACCACGTCAGTCAATAGCCACGAATACAATGGAAGAGCAATATCGTATATATTACTATCGTGTTTAAGGACTTGAAGTCGATCAACTCTGGACAAAACTTTGTAACAGCATTAAACTGCACTGTCTTTAAGACACTAAGTATTTTATTAAACTCCATTTATATGGTCCAATTGTCCTTAGTTTTTAACAATAGTTTACAAGGTATATATATACATGTAATATTTTGTGTTTTACTTGTTGAAGAAATATTAAAGAAGTAAGACCAATAAAAATTCTACTTTTGTTGCCCACATTTCTCTTTGTCTTGATAAGTTATATACATTTTTTTACCTTATTTCCTACTACTATTCTTTAGTATTTAGTTACTTGTGTTCTATTCCTTATATCTTAATACAAGTGTTGATACCAGGAGCTAATAAAGACAGCTAAACCAGACTCTTAATAAACTAAGTACACACTTACACCCAGAGGAGACTTAAAATGCATTGTATTAGTCCATGCTACCTTTCTTCCTGTCTTATCTATCATCTCTAAGAAAAGTAGGGCTGAAAGTGGTGAGCATTGTATTTACTGTCTTTGTATTAAGAATTAAGGTTATAATGTTAGTGGTCTTGTTCTACACATGTTATACTGTTTGGAAGAGACAGGGAACTGGGATGAGAGAGGGGTTAGAGAAGCAGGAACAACCGTTAAATATGTTCAAAAACTGGATCACGCAAAGCTTCTTTAGCACTCAGTCTCTCTTTAGGGTCAAACACTAAAAATGTCCGTATTAGCCTGATGAATACAGAAACCTCTTCGGCACTGTTGTTGTAGACGCTCGATTCGTTTATTCTGGATTCAATGCACCCAAATCCAATGCTTTCTGTAATTGCAGTTGCACGCTTCAACATATCTGAACGTGGGAAGGGTGAATAAAACACCAAATGTCAAAGTCAAGCAACGTACCTCTGAGACCATATAGCTTCCTTTGCCCTTCGTATTTCTTCAATACAGATTCATTATGTTCTTGACCAGTGCGCAGAGTCATCTGTGCAAGATGGACAACATCGCGAGATAGACCGTCAGTAGCTTCAGGTGTAAAAAGCCATGTGCCCGTTGCAAACTCGTACATCTTAAGAGCCTTACTTAGCATAACATCTCAGAGCTGGTTAGCAGGAGGAGAGATCAGTACCATGCATCCAAGGCTCCAAATATCGACAGCAGGACCCCATTCAAGGCCAAGAATGACTTCTGGGGCACGTAGAGCATATGGCTGAATGATATTGCTTAGGTGCTCGTCTTGCAGATGGGCTAAACATCTAGCCTTAGTGGACTATTCTCAGGTGCCATTACATTTACGCACCGTGCCCTAAGTCTGCAATGACCCAATGTAATCTAGTGTCTTGGTTCGAAGGCAAGTCAAACAAAAGAGGACAGGCGACAACTGGATGAAATGGAAGCTCGTCTGGCGGCACTGTCTTCGGGAACTCGTAAAGTGTGGGCGGTCGTTCTACGAGCTCATGCATGACGACCGTATCTATATCAGACGGCAAGAGAAGAAGGTTTCCAGGTTTTAAGTCTACTCAGATGGTGAAGTCAGTTATTAAGAGCGGCCAAGGCTGTGCAAGACGTACCGGAATGAACTACCTTGCACTCATCGTGCAGATATTCGAGGCCTTTCAAAACGTGCTTTGTAATACGTAAAATAAACTTCAGTGGGAGTCGCGGATCTGGCAGCTCTTCTAGCAGATTTGGAACGCTATAGCTGAGAACATCTGTGACGAAACAAATATGACGACCGGCAAAACTTTCAAATTCGAATTCATGGAGAAGATGGACTACGTGTTGATACCCATGGTGAGAAGGAGCCGCACTCGAGACCTTTCGAAGAATATCGCGTTCCTTGAGCCGTCCTGCTTCTATTTCCCTTGATGCATGCGATGACAGAATTTTGAGGGCAACAAAACGGTCATCTCTTAATTTATTCTCGTCAGTAGGTTATGAAGAGAAATAATTTCTAGCACGCACTTGCGATCCCTTGCTAGCCATACGCTCGAAAAGCCACCCCAGCCGAGCTTCTTTGTAATGACAAATCGTGCCTCGTCGAAGATTTCTCCAATCCGAGCTGGATAGAATCCGCCCCCCTCATCAGAGGATAATGCTAGATTCTCTTCTGGCCACTGCATGTTTTTCAAGTCCTCGCTAGCTTGGTATGTGGGTTGAGGAGTGGGAGGATCGTCTGACATCCTTGGGATGCTGTTGCTGAAGGGGCGCAAAGAGGACTTTCGACGGTTAGATGTGAGTCTGTGGATAGTGAGAGTATTGACAATTCTTCCAGCGCTGAAGGAATGCAGTAGAGCAGGTCGGAAGAGAGCAAGACAGCAATTGTAGTAGTAGTAGTGTAACATTGAAAGCAACCATCACGGCCAACGTCGGTCACGTTATGTGGCATAGTACAGGTATGCAGCAAAAGTCTTCGTCATTCCTCAAAAGGTAAGTGTATCTGTAAGTGATTTGCGTTGACTTATAAGGCTGTAAGAGACACATCAAACCTTTGTCTTACATTTCTAGCATACATGAACACATTATACACACAAAAAAACATGAAAATACAAGCCATTTTGTGAAATTAATGCAAAATTCTGTATTTTTTTGTACTTCACAATGTGTCGATCAAAGCATTGATCTACATCTAATTTCTATGTATGGCATGCAAATCACTTACAAATACATCTACCTTTTAAGGAATGACGAAGACTTTTGCTACATACCTGTAGTACAAGCTTCCTTCCTATTCGGAATCAAATTTGCCCTTTTATTGTACCCCAGATTTCAAATAATGTAGTTTATCTATTCAGATGGATATTTCAGACAAAAGCATTGCAGGAACTTGATGGCCTGAGGCAAACCTTTATATTGTTATGTGCTAACCATAGAAGTTTGTATTCATATTACTTCATAAGTAAATTGTGTATTTGTCTTATGACACTACTATTGTGCTGTTCCATCTCACATTAGTATTGTACTACACTATCTCCATCACGAAAAAGTTGTAACAAATGTATTTAATAATAGCAAAAGTAATCTAATAAAATGATTTCATAAG